ATTAAATATAAGTTTAATAACCCAATCCATAGGAAAATCGGTTTTGATATACCAATTAGAAAGATAAACCTATCCTTAAACCACTAGAAATGGAAATATAATTTCACTCTTCCCATTGTCACATATAATTGCTATAGCCCATTCTCTATTACCTAATTATATTACCTTACTTCTACCATTTCGTTTAGTATTAGTTATGTTACGGGAGCTGCCTCTAGGGTCATGTGGAAGTGTTTAGAGATCTCTCGAGGTGGTTTAGACTAGACTTCAAATAGGAATTCGATAAGGTTGGAACTGATTGCAATTCTTGTAACTATAGTATGAAAACTAATGATTGTCTTGAGCATGAAGCTCTATATTGTAATGAACCTATTCCTTATATAGACCTTCATACTCTACGAATCGACAAGTCGATTGCCACAAAACCGATTTCGATAAGTCGGTTTCCTGATCACGTGAGGCCCAGCACCGTGACTTGTAATGATACTATTGTTTATCTAATCTGTACTTACTAACGTGTTCATCAGTAAGCGGAACACTTCAAAATACACCAAAATTCAGGCTTTTCTGATATTCAGATTTTAATAATTAATCATTATTTTAATAAGAAAATCTATTCAAAAAATTCAAAGAACTATTCAGTAAAAAGAAAACTTTAAAATAACTTATCTCATCCTCAGACCACACGGTGATTACATAATAGGCTTGAGGCCTTGTTTTCGAGGCAGGGGCCTCCCGAAGGTTCACCGTAGGGTCTGAAACAATTTGGTTCCGGCTTTGGTGTGAATAGTAACAATTCAGCTTTTTCTGATTTTTTAATTAATATTATTAAATCATTCAACAATCGTATTATTTTAGTGCAGATTCAATATATAAAGCTGATTTTTCTCATTATTTTGATATAATTTTTATTATTATAGCTCTATTAGATTATATACAAATACAGCTTTGAAAATTAAAAAGTAATATTTCAAATAGTAACATTTCAATAAAATAAGCACCCACCCCCTTCGAAATCCATTATCACCATAACTTTCAATTAAAAAATATATATTCCAGAAATCCTCTTATTTAGCTCATCCTCCTCATATAAACAGAATCTTAAATAATAAAAGTTGTTGTTGATTTCGAAGAGGTTGGGTGCTCTTAGCTCTAAAATTCTGAAGCAAAATGCCTTAAACTTAAGGCATTTTATATTTAGAATTTAACCATCATTGACGATATGATCCTAACGCCACTGATACATTTGAAAAGACTTGTAAGGTATTCAGCTCAATAAGGCGATTCGATTGATACTATTTTTATTATTAGTGAAGATAATTTGAAATCATTGAAAATAACTTAGCTGGTTTGAAAAAAAAACTTTCCAATTGAATTTCACAACAACCATAACTCCAATCAATTTAAAGCCGATTCATATAATAGTATCAATTGAGCTCTTTCGAATGCTTTAATTAGTTTTTCAATAAATAATAGTTGAAAGGGTGATGTATATGGTTGAAGTGCTCTCACCAAACGAATTGAGTTGTTCACCAAAAACACGCCCAAATACTCTCAGACTCTCGAGGAGATAAACGTTCCCCCCGATCCCTGATTGGCTGAAAAAAATTGATTATTAGTAAGCAATCCAAAATATCAATAGTATCAAAAAGACCAATATGAATCTTCAATACTATAAAAATTTATCGACAAAGAGGGTTTGAAAGTGAGATAAAAAATAACGAACAGTTATTGAGAGATAAGAGAATCGTGATTTCTCGGCTGTCACGAAGTCACATACATTCAGGTAAATCACGTGGGATAACGAAGAAGCCGATGGTCCGTTCGCGCACGATCGGATTTCGAGGATTTACTATGGGAAAATGGTGATGGTAAGATCGAAGAAGAACGCGGCCGAAGCCGCTCCGTTAGCGTACGAGATCATGTATATAAAGAGCCTCCTAGAGAGCTATAGTTCTATAGCTTTAGATTCTAAGGATGAAATGAACCCTGTTTATTCAGCTCTCTAAGGCATATCGTCACACGGCCTACTTTTCCTATATCTCAAGATTGAATAAAGTAAATCTTAAAAAAATCTAATATAAACACTTCTTATAATTGTTGAAAATTAACATTAGAATTTCTAAATGAAATAATAATTGATTATTTAATTTCAAATATTCAAAAAACTCGAATTTTAGTGTATTTCGAAGTGTTCCGCTTACTGATAAACCACGTTATTTATTTATTTTTATTTATTTATAGTGATTAACATCTAATGTCTGACCTCCCGAAGGGTATTCTAGATATATTAAGGAGCGGGCCTACGGACTACTGACGTTCCCGCTGTTTATAGTAGTGTAATGTTAGTTAATCAGAAGCTTGTTGTCTTTGGTGCTTCTTTATTCAATATTGCTTGTAGCAATCCTGTGGCTATTCTATCTAAAGGTTTGTGATTCTTTTTTAGAGGATCTTGTTTTGTATATTATCCGGATATCAGTAGATAATCAAGTCGATTATTGTCGATCAGGAATACACTTGGAATATGTATAGCTGGTCGATATAGATCTTAGATTATTCGAAATGAAAAGCTTATCCTCGAGATATCGACATAAATTGGTATTTATGCGATTTCGTATAGTTTGGGTATATCTTAGTATAAAATCTAAATCTGATAAAAAGATTAATAAAACTGTTTTATATCTACAGGATACAATTGATATATACTATTGCATCCTATTCGGATTGAAGATGATTGATGTAAACAACCAATCGCTACGCATCTGATTATTAATCAGGTATTGAAAGAAATACAATGGGTTTTTCTCAATCCTATATATATATAGGTATTTATACTATTTTTGTAATTAAATCTAATATAATAAACTACAAAATCACCATATCCGATCCTTATCGCTATAAGTTTGTAGAGTATCTTGTAAAGGAGTTTGAGATTCCCCGATTTCGAGATATTATATGCCGGTTTCCATGTATCGTATGTCTCGGAGATCAGGCCTCTCTTTTCCTTCCACTATCTGCTCTCGGAGTGTAGACATTTGGCACGTAGAGCAGAGCGAGTGCGATAAACCACGTTATCTACTTTATGCTTACTATAAGGTAGATATCAATAAAGATAGGTACCTATCTTTTCTTAATCACTGATTACTTATTCGGTTACCTTTAATCTTAGTTATTTTCCAATCCTATAGTCCCTACAGCACTATTTTCGTGGGTCCCAACACCAAGGACTTGCATTTACATTATAATCCTACCTTTCACTATAATTTACTCGTTGATTCTCAACAGTTCCCCAAAATCCTCAAGCGCAAACGCAAACCGCTCGAAACACGACTTTCGGATGTGATACGTGGTTTTTGATGTAGTCCCTGCGTCATCGGATAAGGGCGATAGGGGCCCAGAGATATGGTAACCTACATGATTGGTCTAGTAACACCGGAAGCCGTTTTGAAAGGGAAAATCCAGCAAGATAGAAGATATGATATCCCAAAAGATTTAATTGGCTTGAAGGGTAAATCTCGGAAGAAACACCATGGTTATCGAGGTCGAAATGGCTAGGTAAGTTGGTCTGATCACCCGCTCTTAGATCTACTCCGAGTCTTGATTGGAGAATATACGGTTCAGTTACGCTAGCTATCTCACTCGCTGCATGCATTCCTACTTTCTGACACATCACATCAACTCATCCAAACAACAGGGTCGATAAGTCAGGAACATTGCGACACCACTTGCTCGTTAGGATACATTAACATTTGTTTTTGAATGGAAAATATGAGGTAACTTCATTCTTTGAAGTTATGCCTTTGGACTTAGGAGCTGGAAGTGATTTGGAACCAGGATATCGAGAGCAAACAGGATTTTGAAGCAAACAGGCCAACAGTACATTCCCAGAAAGGAAGGTATTCAAGGATCGGTTCTGTTAAATGCATCCATCATGCAACGTACGTTGATGCATGTTGGTTCAACAGTTGGAGACAATAAAAAATTCGGTGATGATGATGGAAAGGGAAGGACTTCAGGCATATATAAAAGTCAGTAATGGATGCAATTGAACAATGGACTTTGCAAGTTTATTGCTCAATCCCGCTATGTCTGAAATCCCCGCCACGCCTCATCCGACCTCGGTCAGTACCCACAATTCTCAGATTTCTCATCAACTTTCGGCTCCTGATGATGATGAAGATTGGTCAAAGGTTTCTGATCAAAGGGCCCGCAAGCGGATACAAAATCGCATTGCTCAGAGGAATTACAGTAAGACAAAATTTTCTTCACGTCATTACATTGTTCGCTGTGGCTGTACAAGATTTGGATAAGCTGACTTTAATCCAGGAACAAACCTAAAACGACGAATTGAAGAACTTGAACGACAAACTACAGTGGCGCAGGTGGGCACTAAGTCTAGTGTTGGTTTAGCTTTAGACGACAATTTTCACTATTACCACGACCTGCGTCACTTCGATGGAAATCATAAACACTATGCTACATGCGCATACCAGAATCAACTGCCCCGTAATATTGGCTATGGAGCGTCATTGCACCAGCAGTCCAGATGCGGTGACCCTCGCTCCCACATCGAACAAGAGATGTTAGATTCCTTGTCCTCCCCTGATCCAACGGCGACACACCCCCAGGCAAAAGCTAGGCAGCCAAATCACCGCAATCTAGATCATATAATTACGTATTCTCCCGCGCTCTCAAACCGCACACACGGCAGTATGCCCGTGATGGCTAATAAATCATTGAATGGTAATTCGAGTTCCCCTCGAGATGTAGTAAAACAATCTTCTTTTTCTACTATGCTCAATAGTTTGGGGGAAGACTTCGATCGTAACACGTTAAGTAAGTTTCATTCTCTTGTCAAGAAAGTTGGATTGAGCCGCTAAGACTTTACTCTCTTAAGTTGACGAGGCACATACATGGAACGAACCCTGTGGTGCAAGCTACCCACATTTTTATAGAGACACTGAAGAAAACCCGCTTGCTAGCCCACACGAGGAGAATTTTCAAGATGATATTGCCATGTCATATATAGATTCGGCAATATTCTCAGTCGATGCGCCCCAGGAGAGGTATCCTGAAAGAACGGCTTCTAAGCACTCGCGATCTTGCAAAATATTCGGCGAAGATACTGAAAAATCAGTAGCTGAAACTATGTCCTCAACACCAAAGGCTATAAACCCCGAGCCCAAGGAAAGTACAGCAAATATGCCCTCTGTGCCTGTAGAGGGAGCAAGCTTCAATGAAAGATTGAACTTTCTATTAGAGTGTTCGAGGATCGTTGGATTCACAGATTTCGATTCAGTAATATCAAGCTATTACACTGCAGACTTCAGTGATGATTCAGTAGTAGCAAGCGTCCAAAGACTCAGCCGAAGACGAGGCTTACCGAAAGTTCTTGTTGCTCTGCGCGAGAACGCAGTAAATTGGACACAATGGGAGGCTCAAGGATACCTCGATGAGACTTTTAAATCTGCAGAAGATCTACTAGTAGCTGAGTGCACAAACAGAGAAGAATGCGATACAATTATTGGCATTTTGGCAGGAAATTCACCGTTGGCCAATGGCCACATTGCTCCTGTCGAAGTTTCCGCAGCACAAGCCCAAAAGAAATTCCAGGTAATGGTAAGCTTGAATCCCGGTGCACCGTTGACTATCTTTTTTACCCCACGCTGCAAAGCCGTAATTAATCTTCGAATAGCTTCCAAATCTGTGGTCGCTGGTGTCAGCTCTCACTACAGATGTGGCAGCTGTGCATTCACAAAACCGCTCCCATGTCATACTTGCCATCGTATCGCTACTCTATCTCTCCAAAAAAGCTTCGGCAAAGCATCTTCGACTCTGGATTGGTACTTGCCTGAACACTGGTGAAAAGAGTGACTGAGTGGGACATCCATGTCAAATATCTGGAAATATGACAGGCATTGTGGTGGGACTGAGTCGCATTCATGTTGATCGATTTGTTTGATTTTATTAATGTCTTTTCTCAGTTTGAAGATTTAAATATTAATGTTGTGTGCTGTCGTATCACGATAAACAAACCTCTCAGCGCGTGATTTCAAGCTGAGTGATGGACGAAGACAAGTCCCAAGCTCTCTGCAAGCTACGGGAGATGGCGTCTATTATACACAGCTAATCGCTATTCTGTTGATTTATTCATGTATAAATAACAACTATACACATCACTCATGGATTCATATCCAGTAGAAATCCTCTCCGGCCATAGTTTCCTGACTATTTGCTCTGATGTGTAGCATCATATCCAACGTTATCAAAGATCATTTTCTTGACCAATATGGAACAAATTTGGAACCACTTCAAGCATGCAGTTTCCTTGGGTCCCAGATCGTACCTAGATTCCCCCGAGGATCATCAGTTCAAACTCGGTGCTCTGGAGGCTACTTGTGCAACGAATAACATGAAGAATACTAAAATCAGACTTACCATCATCTTTTCTCAGCAAGCCTCGTTCGTCATATTCGGAAAATCTCCTCTGGTCCGACCAAGCCTCAAAGTTCGACCAATCAATACAGCTATGTTTGGTACGATCATTAGCGTGCGGGTCATAGCTGTTAGGCTGCCAAGTATAAGTATAGATACTAAGGTCCGGTTGACACATGAGGTGCTCACGGAGAGTTTGGATACAGTGCTCTATGCGTTGAGGGTATGAATTAGCGAACAATTGAACATATTGAAATTGAAAGGCAGAAAGAAGCAGACTGCCAACCTTCGCTGAGATTGGGAAAAAGGGATTAAATTTACCAATATGTTCGGGATAGATCATTCTGGGCTCAGTGACAAATTTCTGAGCGTCGGGATAATAATCCTTGGCTATGTAATGACGGATGACTTTCTGGCAAGTTTCTCAGCAAACGAACAAGTTGAACGTGTTCATACAGAAGACGGGACTCAAACTTACCAAACAATGTAGATGATGATATACCTCTATCGATCCCCAATAGTCGTTGGAACCGTCAGCAAGTTTTATTGAAGTCCCATTGACTTTTCGAAGATCGTCTTCCGAAATACGTATATTTATTCCTGGGTGCGTGTGAGAATTTCCCCAACAGTCAAATTTTGCAGACATACTACTCATTAAGTCATCCCACGCTTTGTCAACTGCTGGGCCCGGATTGCCAGAGAATGGCGACCCGATTAATTTGCTACTTTCAATTGTGACAATGTTGTACAACGCTCCATCATAAGCTGGTGCTATTCTCCAGTTAGCAATAGCACACTATTATTGTGAATGCTTTGAAACCTCACAATGTATCAGGGGTTTCGGACATTTTTGCTCGCAAGAGCGCCAGTAAATTGTCTTATGATTTGCCACGGCAACAGCTGCAAGCAAAGACAAGAGAAAAGCTAACAGATGAAATGTAGCAATCAAGAAGAAATTGCGTCGAGCAGAGCATCTTTTCCTGACATAGCTCTTGGGGTGATTACAATCCTCGCTTTGAACTAAACCTTGGAAGCCGGAATTGAGAGGTTCCATAGACTCGTCCTGAGATTCCATCATAAAATAACGAATTGGAAGCGATGGTAATTGAATGAATAGGTTGTTAGAGCGGTATGAAGCAAACCTCAAGTACCACATTCTAGTAAAGGCCCAAAGTGTGTGATATAATACAAGCTACGTACAATAAGAATTGTCTACTGATAAAACATATTGACTTAACATGAGTATAAGATACAGTATGTAATCATAATCATCAGGCACATCAAATGTACAGTGAAAAAATCTATCGGCTTCACGCATAAGCCACACGCGCGAGTAGACTAATACACTGAGTATGAGTACAGTCAGAGATACTAAGACGTGGGACATATGGCTTAGGTTACTAGCTGTTTTTGGAAACTCTTGGAATGTATCGTAAGGCTAGCGTGATAAAAAAAACCACAAACTTGGGTATCGAATGTCGAATATCGAGTACGGAATTGTTTGAATTCAGAGAAGAAAAATACTAGGTACCTATTGCAAGTTATCAGTACCAGCGATAACACTACTGTAGCGATAACTACGTAGATTAGTCATTCAGAATGGCCCGTGCAGAAGGTGTCATACTAGCGAGACTAGTTCCCAGCCTTGTATGTACGTCCAACTGAGGTCTAGCGCTAAGCCCCGGAGATCAAGAGCAAAGAATGTATAGCCAATGTCGAATGTCACGTTACATTTAATTGCTCTCACTCCCTGGTAGGATCAGCAGCAGCTACTCACTGGATTGTGACGGTCAATATTATGGTTGCGCCTGACGATAAAATTGTTGTGATTTTATCCAACAAATAGTCACCCACGTGAGGTTTTGCCGATACAGTGACATTAGTCGGTTGACAAAGCACAACATGATAAGCTGGTTCGCTCATCATAAGGTATTGAATTTCAAGTATTCTATTTACCAAGACTAAATGACAGTGTAGTACCATCAACTGGATACGGAAATAAGCATCTGATGTAACGGATTCGAAATGAGTGTATAATTTGGAGCATCTGTCTGATTTCAAGATGGGTAGAGGCAACCCCTGCCGCATAATAGAGACAATTACTTGAAGCCCCCAAGCTAAAATCAACAAGGAAATGATCACAACCTCCACCGCCAACCATCTTCAACCTCCCGCTTCCTTGCCCGTCGCCAATTGCCCTCGTGAAGCAAGATGAATCGTTCAAGCGGCATGGATCCTAGTAGGGAGTGGCATCCTCCATACCACGTTTGTAGGGAGTGGCATCCTCCATACCACGCTTGTAGGGAGTGGCATCCTCCATTCCACGCTTTTCCTTGTAGGGAGTGGCATCCTCCATACCTCGTTTGTAGGGAGTGGCATCCTCCATTCCACGTTTGTAGGGAGTGGCATCCTCCATACCACGTTTGTAGGGAGTGGCATCCTCCATACCTCGTTTGTAGGGAGTGGCATCCTCCATGGTTGGTAAAGCCCATGCGGTCGAGGCCAAGGCCAGGACTAAGACGGTGGTGACAGAGATGGGACGCATTGTGATATGTATAGTTTTAGTGGCAAAAAAAAGTGAGGCTTTATGTTTTTGCTTGCAGGATTTGAGTATATATAGACTGATGCTTTTGAAGTTCGAGTTTCTAAGAGTGGGCAAAGATTCTTGTGTTAGGAAACAAACGAAGTGATTGGACCTAGACGTATAAGTAGTATTCACTGATTGCGCCTCATCAGTGATAATATGGAGCATTGATAAAGCCATTGCTCTGCATGTAGGCTCAAACGTGCTTAGTCAAAATGTCACTGATGAGTTTAGTAGTGACTGGTGTGGGGAAATCAGTCTGAGTCAGATATTTAGTCAGAAAACTTTCTTTCTTCAAGATCTACCGAGTGATACATATGGTCTGACTATTGCTTGCGGTAAGTTGTGTACTGTATTACACGTACTGATGCCTCAACTCGCTGACCTAGTGAGATGAGATCGATGACCTTCATATTAGTTGGCAATGCTCATATGTGCTTATCTTCAGATTTAAGAGCGTTAATATTATCCACTCTGATTTAGCTTTCCAGTATACAGTTTGTCTGGATTTGCTTGTTGATCGCTTTATTATGAATTTTGAAGCGAAGATTTCACAGCTACGGGGTTCTTTTGTGAACTCATCACATACTGATGACGAAGAGGAGGAGTTTCTCAAACATTCAACCACTTCCCGTAAGACGGAATCCGGACCTTGGTTTCAACGTCGAAAAGTCTTTCTCGTCACTAATATTGCACTCATCATAATTACCTTGATTCAGGGCCTGTTCATTGCTCAGCTGAGAATAGAGCTATCACATCAGCTTCCCAAGTTCTCGCCAAGTATGCCATGTATTTCAATTCTTAGGAAAGTAGAGGCTAACCGTGCAAAAATAGATGGATTGAGTTACGCACGCGATAATATCCGTATAGCGCATGTCCCAACACGGTTCTGGAACGACGATGAGGAGGAGGAGGACAAATCATGGACAGCCATTGAAGCAGGACATGGACTCGTTTCAGTCGCACCTGAGTGGGCTGCTGCCCGTGGCCTTCCAGATTCCTTGATTCACCCTCGAGATTCTTCAAAACGAGTATACGTCATTGAAGGCTATCACGGCATACATTGCCTTGTAAGCTGCCTTCCGCGTATGTTTCTTTATTGACATACAAGACTGATACAGCCTTTAGCAAACCCTTCGTCGTCATTATATGAATCTCCGACGCGGTGAGACACCAGATCGTCCACTGGAACACGATCTCCATTGTTTCGATTCTTTACGTCAGAGTATCATGTGCATGGCTAATGACGAGCTCCTGTATACAACAGGGCACAATGATGCGGGGATTAATCAGACACGTCAGTGTCGCGATTGGGATGCTTTGCGAGAATGGGCCTCAGGATTCACATCTTGCTACCATGATTATGTGGCACCATCAGGAGAAACAAAATGGGGAAAATGTGACAATGGGGTCGATGGATTGCCATATGGTTCATTGTTGTCTTGAGAAGCGAGTCGAACAGCAAGGGGTATTTATAGCAAAAATGCATATTCTAGATCCTGAAGTCAACAAAGATGTTTGCGATGCGTACCTGGAATAAGATTGTTCGAGAAAACAAGTAAACAAATACCAAAAGATACCACCGATACTGTCAATGTTTCTTGCATCGTCAATACGATATTTTTGGGCTAGGCAAATAGGTGTTCACTAAGACTACTTTGCAATTTGACTTCGTAGCTATTTGCACTGCATATTTTCCTCAACTCACAGTGCTCGAGCACTTCGATACATCTGCTTACTAAATGTTGGTATCAATTTGGTGTTGATTAAAGTGTAAAGTACTTCAGTCTTATCAATATGATTGATTGTATTATTCGTCTTGATCATTATTAACTATGGGAAGCTAGTACTTGATATAGTAGAAGTGCAAGCGCTAGTGCTAGCGCTAGTGCAATACGGTGCCCTCTTTAGATCACATGATCGATATCCCGACACTGGCAACTCTTAAGTTGAATATGATCATGTGCCTAAGCCCATTATTCAATCTTAAACACAGTGTTCTACTCCTGCTCCCTTAGCTCCCATTCCACTATTCTCTTTCCACCCAATGTGTCACTTTAATGACTATTTTATTAGTGTCAATCAAGTCTTTTAAAGCTTGATATACATCGTTTTTAGTTATGGCGTCCGTAGGATTCGACTTCCCGTCAATCCATTTAATCTCCCCGATTTCCCTATTCTCGTAGCATTGTCGTACAGCCATAATGTCGATTAGAAGGCGCTTTTCCTCGCTAGTGCCGAGCTTAGTCAATAAGTCATATAGTGACTTAGAATCCGTACATAGTATCAATGGTATCTGCTTCTTAGGCTTGAGAATAGCATTGATAGTGCCCTTAATAGCAGCATCTATATCGAAACCTAGAACTAGTGCATATAGCTCAGAAGCTAGTACACTTCTAGTAATTCTCTTACATTTAATCGATATCCAGTAAATGATATTAGCATTGCTGTATTTATCTACTAAATATATAACATAGCCAATTTGTGAAGATAGATTAATATTATTAGCGAAGGATACATTGGTAAAGACAACTAATTCGATAGAATCCATGTCGAGAGATATAAAGGTTAATCTTCTTCTTGGGTTGTCCATCTGTCATTTGATGATCTTATTGAGCTTAATAGCATCTTCTTCCTTCGGATCTACTATCTGGGCAGTAACTGAAAGATGGTATGATGCCTTTGGTTGATATACTGTTGCGATATACACACCTCTCGCGCGTTGAGCGATATATTGGTTCTTTGAAGTAACATTCTTTCGAATCTTTCCCCTTGTTCCCCGCATATCAACACTCCCTAGTGTGACCATTCGGAGATTATCACACTGTTTCTCCTGATTCAGATAGATTCTATTACCCTTAAGAATGATTAAACCACCATTAAACTTAAGTAAATGATCTTCAGTGAATTGCTCTTTGTTTTTAACTATAAATCCAGCTTTCTCTAACTACTTTTGTTTTAATTGTGCAAATCTTTCGTCTGCAACTATAAGAGTATCATCGGTTTGTAATCCTACAATACCGATGCCGTCATTGGAGTAAAGTAAACAGGGATCGTATGTAGATTGCGTCATATTTAGCCTATCCCTATGGTGATTGTGGTAGGTTCCAAACCAGTGATTTCCTGTTTCTGGTATACTATACAAGAGCTTTATGATATATAGCACATATCCGAAATCAAGTCCGATCTCTTCTGATGCTTCCATATAAATAGGTCTGTTCAAAGTCGTGGTTGATTGGATGTATGCCTGTATGATATTCTGTAAATAGATCTGAATATACTTATTTGATGCTTACAAAATAGCGGCAAGTGCAAGTATAATATGCTGACTAATGTATTGAATAATCAGTGATTGTATCAAAACAGTAGTTTTGCCTATATCTTGGTATACCTGAACCACTAGTCGTGATTTCGTGTATACTTTATCAATACCTTCTTCTTTTATTTCGTTAACAAATCGTAATTTAAATAGTTGTGTTCCGAATAGTATATTAGCTTTTGAGACGATTTTAAAGACTCCATTTTCTATTAGTCCATCAACTTCCTTGTATCGTAATTCTTTATATTGTGTAGGTGTATCATCTTGTAAGAATACAGTTAATTGTAATAATAATAGCTTAATATCGATATCCATCAAATTAATCATATTAGTTAAGTTGCTTTTATACAACAACGTAGTTATATATCTGGTTGTACCACTAGCAGTAGTATTTGCAGTTGTAATATTTCCATTCATAATGTATCAATTACTATAATGTCACCATTGTCATTACTATTTGTATCATTACCATCATTCGATTCGATTTCTTTAGGCTCTTTATAAAAAGATTATATAGATATAGATCGAAATTTAGTTGGTCCACTAATAAGTTTCACTTCACATATTTCCCCATCCATTCCAATCAGAATGTATAGTTCAGTCCACTTGCCTAATATATTACCATCTTTTCCTTTCTCCATACTAAAACTTATAAATTAAGTAATAAAGTAAGAACTGATATTATAGATAATCCATTCCTCAATCTGAATATTTCTATGATCTATCTTTTAATTTATATATAACATACTTCTATTATAGCTTTCTTTATAGCTTTTGTATATTGAATAATTATCGGGGTTGATAGATTAATATCATTTAATCTAGAATATATCCTATAAACTAGTAATGTGGGAATAAGCCCATTCGGTTTAACTATATCATTTACAGCTTTCATTACTATTTACAGGATTATTGTTTTTATTAAATTGTTATCTTCAAGCTTTTTAATCAAAATCTCATATACACAGTGTAGGAGATAATAATATCTTTCCATTATATTTATAGAGTTGTATGCTTCAACTGATACGCTCTTGATAGTGATTAACATAGATTTTGCATTCTGAACAAACTCTTTATTTACAAAGTTCTTTCCTGTATTATGAATAATGTAATCTGATGATCCCACATATACATCAATCCAGCATTCTCGAAGAGTATCGAATATATACTTAGCTGAAACATTTTCAAGAAATCAAGCTGCTTGATAATGTATTGCCTTATCAACAATATGTAAAACTGGTTTGTTTGTAATGTACATAACATCGACATATATAGTATAGTTAAATTCAGTATCTTTTGGTAGAATAAACCTAAAACATCCAGGTAACTTACTATGTATTTGATAATACTTATAATATTTGATAAGATATTTTATAATGTTATTACTCTCATTGTAGCCTACACGTTGTAGTACATTATAAAAGCATTATGCAAATGGGTAGTCGAATTGTTGATATAAATACTATTGTCACGGGGTGACACTAAGCCCTTTCTGTCCTGTCCTGTCCTGTCCTGTCCTGCTATATATGTGAGAGTAAGGTAGAACTTCCAGTTCTACCTCCTAGTCTTTGGGCGTTTAGCTCAGCGGTAAAGCTTCTGAATACTCCCAGAAGTGATCCCGTGACAACTATAGCTTAATAGTTATTAAATAGTAGTTATTCTAGCAAATAGATTTTAAATAAACTAATTCATATTTATTTTTTATATCAAAAATATATGCCCACATTTTTCTAATAACAGAATATTAATTAATTAGATTAATGAATTTGTTGGTGATATTATTATAGAATGCTTTAAGCCAATCCATATCCTCAAGTCCCAATAAAAATGGAATATCAGTATCTACAATATGAAAAACAATGTATCCAAATAGTATATCAATATAAAATAAACCTATTGATATTACAATCCCCTTCCCAAAACATACATTCACCGCTTCTGCTGTTTATGGATTATATATCATTAGGCATACCTGTTGCCATGCATAATATTATTTAATCCCAACTATAGATTTACTTGCACAAACTATATTGATACATATACCAAAGAACTCCTTGCTTATATAACTTATATAAAAGATATCTATTATACTTTCTGCTGATAGAGTAGCTTTAATAGAGTCTCTAATCAATGTATATAATATTGTATTGATTAATAACTAATTGAATATCTCTTAGCTATTCATAAGTTCTGAATTAATGAAAAATGCTTTTTCTTTAGTATCATCAATATTAAGATCTGTAAAGAACTATTCTATTTCGGTTTTTGAATTAGATTCTGTATTAGTAGCTTTTTTCTTATATTCGATTAACCATTGGTTATAGTGCTTATTAAATATATTAATTATTACTATCCTTAATCTTTTCCCAATATTCACATCGATTTTTATTCTATTCCTTCTAGGAATGCTTTATTGATCGATATCCCTCTTTCTTGCATATCCAGCAACAATTTCGTTAATTCGAAGAATTAGATTGTTATCGAAATCTATTAATATTGTTCTTGAAACTATTACTTCTGAAATTATTGCTTCTGAAAACCTTTAGAACTATCTAAACTATTTCAGTTATTATTACTATGGAATCTTCTATCAGTGAATAGCACTATATCTTTTTTCTTATATAATCTCTCCTATATATTAATAGATTATCACAGTTGATTAATTAAACCAAACACCTTCTTTTTGGGGTTGAAATAAGCTAGATTGTATACCTCAACATCTTCACATACTAGTATAAGTTTATTGTATAGATATAACATCTGCCGCATAACGGGATTAAATCGATGCTATAGTATGTATAGCTGTTTAATTATAATAGTAAGATACTTATTAAATGACTTGTTTTTATATTTCTTTTTAATTGATTTGAGAATAATATTATTCCATTTAAATAGTATATTGCGTTGATACTCTTCTCCCTCAAAATTACTTTACATATAAATACAAAGCTTTTTGAATATAGGTAGTAGTGCTTTGTAGTTGGTATAAAAAAACTCGAGTGTGCTATCTTTTAGTATGATTGGGAATACTTTGTATTGCATATTTATAGGTATCTCTGCACGTTATAAGATTTCATAGAATATTGAGAATTTGAAATCGAAATTATTGTTGTCCCCGCTATATTTCTTCTTATTGATATAGAATTTCAATAAACTGATAAAAGATTGTGTATTAGAATATATCAATAGTTTCTTATCCCTATCACATCAACCTCTATTATCCTTTCTATCACTATTACTATTGTTGTTATTATTAGAATCTCCTTCTTCATTACTGTTTCCGTTATTATTTTCATTATCATTTTTATTATTGTTTCTATTATCTTCTCAATCATTATTATATTTGAAGTTGTTTTCGATAAATTTATTAATCATTCCAGATTTAAACTTAGGCTCCTTAATGTTATAATTTTTCAAAACTTTCTGAACCTAATCCTTCATCTATATATCTATAATAGATCTACGAGATTGATTATATAAAGCTATATATACTTCAATATTTATCTTTGGTATCAATACTCCTCGAGTATATAGTATTATATATAGCTTTTGTGTATCTATCTGATGAATCTTCGCAAACTATCCAGCTGTGAATATATTGAAGTTATTATAAAAAACCTCAGCAAGCTTGTTATCGTTGATATTCTCATAATTATATTATTTACATTTAAATTTGATATATTTAATAAACTCTCTAGTATTAAATACAATATTCTTATTATTAGCCTGTTATTCCTTTAATAAGCTTAATCACTTCTTACAGTACTTCTCTTTTTTCTTTGTATATAGATTCTTATCAACAACCTTAAAGGTGATCAAATTGACAGCGTTATCACTATTTGATATAATAATATATGAAAGTAGGTATTTCAGAAGTTATAGATATTTTGAAGGTTATAGATATAGGTATAAATGTTTTTAAAAAAGTGAAAGGGTATTTATAAAGATATTTAGATAAAGGTTTATGGGTTACCCTGTACAGCATACAGTATAAAGACTAATACGTGATAGATGCAAGCTCGATTTGTTACAATTGACAAAATCGACCTCTTGAATGTATCTTTCTGATACAATTATCCAAAGTATACTCTTTAACACAACAAAAGAGATAGTACACTATACCAAGTATAATAATATCTTTTTTATAATCTCTTCAGAATTTCTATTAATCTTAAAAATCATTTTAAAACACTTAATATTTTGTAATAGAATTCAAGGCCCTAATTTGTGATATCACTAATTAGTGTTGGTATCAATTTGGTATTGATTAAAGTGTAAAGTACTTCAGTCTTATCAATATGATTGATTGTATTATTCGTCTTGATCATTATTAACTATGGGAAGCTAGTACTTGATATAGTAGAAGTGCAAGCGCTAGTGCTAGCGCTAGTGCAATACGGTGCCCTCTTTAGATCACATGATCGATATCCCGACACTAAACAACTGATTGCCAATTTCTAAAAGCGTTCTCTTTCTTGTGTGAGTAAACAAGGTCACTATTAAAACACAGCAAGCCGACATGCAATTTTCTGTATTCTAGTACGCAGATATGTGATTGTTGTATACTTTACTCGATGGCAAGTCATCACTTATCGGATAGAATGTACTGGAGGCTACAGTTCCATGATTCTGTAATCCAGCATGAACTTTGTTCAAAGAAACATTAGAGATAGGTAGGCATAAGCAAGTGCCAATAAGTGCTAGGTGGAGAGTGTGTATATTGAATCATCTATCTAAGTCTATATGGCATTGCTAAATACATAAAGCCCGGCGGAGTGAGATCATATATGTTCCCTGTCAAGTCCAAGTGAATGATCGATTAATTGATTTAATTAATGTTCTTTCTTGGTCCAAGAATATATAGAACAATTAAAAGCTCATTTGAGCTTTTAATAGAGAGTAATGGGGTGCTATGGAGTATTCAAAACAGCCTCAATCCTTCCAATGGAAGTAGAAGCAGCTTTATGCTCTTCGAAAGTCAGACTAGACTTGAACATCAGACAATACGCATTCCGTATAGCAAAACTTTTGTTACATCATTTAACCAATATTTAAAGCCTGAATTTTTCAACTTTTTGAAAATTTTGTATTATGGAATATAAAATTCGAATTTTTCTCAGTACTTTGTATAGTAGATCTAATAAGAAGAGGTGGCAAGGGTAGAAAAATTCAAAAGGAGGGGAGAACTCTAAATAGGAAAGGGAAACTCTAAAATGAGGGGGAAAACCTTCCACAATGATTCCAATTGGATTGAAAACGATGAAAAGGTCTGTTTCCATCCTGGATGATCAAAGAAAAGGTGAAAAAAGGGTTAGAAGGGGATTTGGATAATGGATTGGTACATACAGGACGAATATGGTAGTCGGGTATGACTATACGTTTCCTTGAGGATCATCTTAGAAGAGAGCCGACCACGTAACTAGCTATTCGTTATTCACTAGGCAACGGCCCAAGCATCAGAGCAAAGACAACATCATCAGAGTCAGAGCATCGAGAGATAAGGATAGCTCAGGTTGCACGAATTAGATTAGGGATAGTTTGTACGCAGCTCTGTTCGCCTACTTGGTTTCTTACATTACTTTAGTAAGTCGCCCCACCACGTCTGACAGTACCAAGCCTCGTGGCATTATTTGGTGCGAAGAATCCAAACTTGTCAGATTGCTACCACCCACCATATTGTAAGTTTGATACAGGCCAAATAAGCCAATGGTATATGTATCTTTTCATAATTGACTACGCACATCATGCGCTACAGATCCCCTCATTGATAAGCCCTGACAAGCGAAGACGAATCGAGGCTCCATTTCCCATTACATCCTTCTTTCCATCACTCCCATAGCTTGTATGTTCTCCTCATATAAAAAGAACCTTGGTTGCGGGCTGCTTGATTGAATTAGCAATCTCCTGACTTGACCTTTTTTTGCGGAACCAATATGCGCTTCACAAGTACTTCCCATACAGCATCTTTGCTTCTATTGCATTGTGTGCTTGGAGAGCCCGATTATCTCTGTAAATCGTTTGGGCACGGCTCAAACAATGACTTTTGTGTTTCATTGGCAACTTATGAGGATGATTCTCTATCTAAACAAGACTTCATCATGACATTTAACCGCACACAGCATGACGCTGCTGGCTGGTCATCAATCGGGATTGGCACCCATATGAACGGATCCATCATTTTCGTTCTATATGGAGATCCAAATTTGGAATCGCCTCCGACACTCAGCATCCGTTCGACAAGCCGCCATCTCCCACCTGTAAACTTGTCCCTCGGAGACCAGCACCAACACGGAATTCATATAGGTTATATTGAAACTTCCTGGGAATCTTCACACAAGGAGAGCTCAAAAACAGCCGTAGCAAGTTTTGTTTGTTATGGTTGCAATGCATGGTACAATGCAGATAGATCAGCGATAACTCCAGTCCTACCTTTTATCTGGGGTATGAATACAGACCAAGACTTCTCTATTGTCGAATATGCAGATGATGCAGATTTACTGATGCACAATCGTTTCGGTGCTTTTGACCTCGACATGACGAAAGAGAAAGGCATCGAACCCAATCAACTCCCAGCCACCATCTCAAATTTTCTCAAACCTTATCCCCCTGCGTCAGAAGTCGAGGATGTCCCAGAGGACTACGAAAACTTAAATCAAGCGCACAACCACTACGACAATGACATCTCCGAGAGCGCCAAAACAGTCCCTTACAAACACAAACGAAAAATATGGCTACTCCATGGCCTCCTTCTAGTGGCCTCTTTATTTTTACTCCTTCCTTTGGGGGCCTTCTTCATCCGCAGCGGCTCGCCTCACTCCCTGTATCTACATCTCATCCCGCAAATCCTTGGCTCGATATTGGGGCTCGCTGGAATCACCGTTGGATTCTTCTTAAGTTCTAAAGTCAGTGTATGGCACCAGTACATTGGTATAGCACTTGGAACTGCCTTGGTTGCTCAGCTAGGATTAGGACTGCAGCACCACCGTGTATTCTCACGATTGAAGAGGAAGACATGGATGGGAAGTGTCCACATTTGGATCGGAAGATTCGTTCTTCTGGGAGGCTGGGCGAATTTTATTGCAGGCTTAGATCTTAGTGATTACACGGTAAACCTGAAAGTTGGATTCGCTATCGCCTCTGCCATCAATGCGTGTGGACTTAGTTTTTCTATCTATAGGCATGCTATTGGAGAACCACTTGGAAATAATCTCAAAGTTCCTTGGGTTAAAGTGGCAAAAGGTGTCAAATGGATAGATGGTGGGATCGCAAACTCAGAGTGCTATTTCGCATTAAATGACGAAAACGATGATGGTGAGAGCTCAGACGCAGAAACTGTTGGAGACGGGAGAGCAAAGACAGATGGTAAGGGGGAAATGGACTGAATGCTCAAGCAAAGCCGTCGGAATATGGGAAACAAACAATACCGTATGTAGTATCCAGAATTATGTGAGAGAAGAAGTTTATTATGTAAAGGTTGCATCTATCTTGAAACTTGTTAGTCATTATGGCCAACCCGCCTTGAAAATACATGGACTGAACGGCAACTTGCACGATCGTAGAAACATGCACATATTTCTATCAAATTCAAATACCATCTTCAAATCTTCAGATATCACCCTCACTCTGTTCCCCTAAACTGTGTTTCCTGCCGATAATCACCGCTAAGATGGTTAGATCAGTCCGTTTGACATCAGTGCCAAGGTCTTAATTTGGTTCCAATTGAATACGCCCATTTACCAGGACTCCAAGTGCCAATTCGAAGTAAAAGATATTTGCAATTTAAAACATCACATATTCCCTGGAACAAATGAGGAACAAATGAGAGAGACAGTTTTTAGAATAGGATTATCTGGAGTGGCTGAAATGACGCGATAGGGGGAGTCACTTGCACCACCAGCACGGTGAAAACCTCTTAGGTGTAGGGTCTTAATTGCATGGAAATTTTGCTACACGATTAAGTGTTATTGATAAAACTAGTTCGATTGACCTTAGTCATAGCTTCTATCCCAGGAAATTTGTGAGATACCAATTTTAGTAGAGTAGTTTGACTTCACAGTTTGATCACGTGTCTCTTTCTAATAGTACCACCATATTTCCAGAGATAGTAGGGCATTGGAACCATCAACAAAGCGATAAACCCCAACAAGGAATTGCCCCACCCAAGTCCAAGTGAGCTGTATAATTGCGGTCCAGCCATCGGCAATAATGCACCAACAAGGGATCGTGAGACCGTCAAAGCTGCCATTGCCGAGGCCGAGTGAACGGGAAAGGCATCAATGAGGTACATCTGAATTGGGAAGAAGATGCCCAGCATACCGAATCCAAAAGGAGAAAGAGCAATGATTGGTACAATCCAGTGGACCGCTTTATCGGCAGCCCAACCATACCAAAAAAAAGAAATTGGAATGAGAATTGCGAAGAGAGTCATGTATGGAAGTCGCATCTCTGGTTCATAGATACCACCGTTCCAATTAGTTAGCTTGACAATGATTTTGTCACTTGTCAAACCAATAACCACGAGACCCACGAAAAATCCAATCCCGATTCCGAGTGATGCCAGACCGGTGAGCTCTGTTGACCAGTGATATGTTTCCGTGTAGACCATGGGTAGAGTCGTGAGAAGTAGGTAGAGAAGCCCATAGACCAAAGACATATACGTGCAGAAAAGAGCAATAACCGGTGAGAGGAACAGCATTCGAAGAGGACGCGTGAACTCACGTTGAAACTTTTCGGGTTTCGTCTCCACTTCATCAACGTCATAGCAAGACCTAAGGTCTTTACGACCTAGCTCTTTCGACAATTTGGCGGTCTTCCTTGCGATTATGACGGGAGCATAGCTTTCCTTGTTGAATATCTGAATCACGATGGTGATCACTCCACTCAAGCAGCAAAGGACCCAGAATATCCAGCGCCAGCCTGCTCTTTGCCCGATGAAAGCGCCAAAAATAGGGCCAATAACGGGGCCAAAAATGACGCCAATTGCAGAGAGGGCATTGGCGGCTCCTCGCTCTTCGGGAACGAACAGATCAGCAATAATTCCACCGTTGAGGGTCATGCAGCCAGCACCGCCCAATCCAGCAAGAAACCGAAACGCTATTAGACACCCTATGTTTGGCGCAACTGCGCAGCCGGCCTGCCAAATGACATACCACCAGTTTGTGGCCGAAAGAACAGGCCTGCGACCCCAACACTCGCTCGCGGGAGCGATAAATAAAGGTCCAAGGACATATCCTAGATTGCCGTTAGTTCGGGCAGGAGCACAGAATTAAAGATCTTACCAAGAATATAAACAGAGACGGTGAAACTTGAGAGGAGTGAATTGGAATTGTGGAAGTCTTTGTCCATGAAAGTAGCACCGGGGGCGAAAATCGTACTCGATAATGGAGAAACAAATGTGATTGCAGTAATTTGGGCAAGGAGAGCCCATTTTCGATTCTGCGAGAAATTTAAAGGCATAGATGGATCCTCTTGACTGTCCCAGCCCACAATGCCTTTATCTAAATTCATTTCCGGAAGTTTAGGCTTCCCAGTGCTTGAGACTGGGTCAACACTGATATCGGTGCTGAGCTCTTCGTTTGGCACAGCCTTTAAAGTATCCTTAGTCTCTCTCAACTCGACAGTGTCAATTTCTGGCGAATATCCCGGCGATTTTGCCGGTACTGAAAAGCTCTAAGCTAACAATTAGCAATATCGGAGGTGGCTGATGGGTATTTGTAACATACAATGTCCGCAGGCATGTTATACTCTCGCTCGTTTCTTGTCATCTTTGTATATACTAAATAGGTTGGAAAATGGAAAAGCTTAAAGAAACTAAAGATTCCTGGAATAATGCAAACTTTGGCTCGAGCAAAAGAAACTACAGAGTAGATGTATGTGGCTGGGTATTGACCATTCCAACCGGTAAAAGCAGTTGTATAGGACACCTCCCTACTTAGGCAGCTGTCCCTTGGGGATATACCTATCCTTGCTCTTCATCTTATCAGAGCTGAACAGTTGCCATGAGTGTAGTATTGTGTTCAACTAGGTAATGGTCAGCGAATAGAACTTTCCATTGGCTTGCCCAAGATATTTTTGTTATCATCATGGCACTGGCGGCTATTTACATGACTGTACCCAGCCTGAAGTAGTTTAGTGGCTTACTGTACCACCGGATGGCGTTAGCTCCCTTCTTGGACTGACCATTTCTTAGTCATTCTCCAAACAAGCACATTAATAAAATTTGAAAGCTCCGAGTGGTTGAAATAAACTTGGCTTAAGCTTTGTTTCCATGTCCCAAGTCCTAAAATATCAAAGCAGCGAGCTTTTTCTACGCCGCTTGTTGTCACGGGGTCGACACTAGCTCATTCTGATCACCTGATTCCTGTCCTGTCCTGCTATATATGCGAGAGCAAGGTAGAACTTCTAGTTCTACCCCCTAGTCTTTTGGCTTTTGTGGCCTAGCGGTAAAGCTTCTGAATGCTCCCAGGGGTGCCCGTGACACTTGTACTGTGTAGCTTGTCTCGCGACCTCGAGAAAAAGCCGAACATTAAAGTTTTAATTGTTATAGGAGCTGCTTCTAGGGTTATATGGAAGTATCTAGAGATCTCTTAAAGTGGTTTAAATTAAATTTCAAATAGGAATTCAATCAAGATGGAAATTGGTTATAATTCTTATAATTATAATATAAAACTAATAATTATTTTTAAATATAAAACTTTATATTATATATAAATAAAATAACTCATATACCTATAAATCATATTAGTATTATAATGAGTAACATATCTCCGAGTCATATAACTGATATTATATAATGGAGCTTTGAGAATTTAGGATTTAAGGACTTAAAAGTCTTGGAGTTTAAAATCCAAAAGAGCTTTAAAGAATACTGTTACAACGGGTTAGTAACAGGCTGTAGATTCACCAACTTATAGGTTATAGTGGTGTTATAGGCCTCGGTGATTCAACTGCAGTATACCGGGGGACGCTAGGCATTTAGGAAAGCCTCAGGTATGTATATAGTATTAGTTATAGGATACCTTATATTATAGGATATAGTTCTTAGGACAATAGGTTTTAGGAAAGGCAAAATATAGTAAGCAAGAAGGCTCTATTAGGATTAGTAATGCTTTAGCTAGGATACTAGGAGTCACGGGATTAGTGTTCTGTGATGGATAGCTCAGGAATGGTAGCGCTCCAGGAGCGACCGGCTGTTCTAGCTGTTCAAGTAAGGATGAAGGTTTATATAGGGAATGGGTTTCATTATAATGTAGAGTTTTGTGTTCAAAATAATTATTAGTTTTATATTATAGTTATAAAAATTGCAATCAGTTATAATCTTATTGAATTCCTATTTGAAATCTAATCTAAACTATTTTGAGAGATCTCTAGCTACTTCCATGTAATCCTAGAGGCAGCTCCCGTAACAAATACAGGTTTATATAAGAGAATAGGATTTCATTATAATATAAAGTTTTATATTCAAAAATAATTATTAATTTTATATTATAGTTATAAGAATTATAATCAATTTTTATTTTAATCAAATTCCTATTTGAAGTTTAGTTTAAACTATCTCGAAAGATCTCTAGATATTTCTATATGACCCTAGAGACAGCTCCTGTAATATAAACCATATTATACAAAATATTATGTAGCTTAAAAGCCTTTCAAATACTTAGTTTTTTTGTTTTTTGAATAATCTTAATAACTAAAAGGAATCAAGCTTCTTTATTATTGGATTTCATAATAAATAGTTGATAGATCGTATAACGTGGTTTATCAGTGGGTCGGCCATATCAGTGGATCGGCCACTTTTACCTCGAATTATTATTCTATTTTCGACACGTGTTTTCTTTATAACTAAATATAGAAAGTCATTTTAAAGAAGTATATATAATCTTAGTTATTCAAATTATCGAATCAAATAAAAAATTGACAATTCGAAAGGCAGCTTAGCTTTATGATATACCTCAATCTATATTGGGTGATAGAATTCGAGGTAAACCTAATATAGTTAAGAGTCAATCAAAAAGTTATAATTTGATTGAATTGGAAGAGAAAATACTTATTCAATATATATTTGATATGGATAATAAAGGATTTTCATCTAAATTGAATATTGTTAAAGATATAGCAAATTATATACTCGAAATGCAAAGGGCAAGAAAGATTGGAAAGCTCTGGGCTTATCGATTTGTAAAGCGTTATACAAAATTAGAGATATGTTTTAATTGTGTTTATAACTTTCAAAAAGCTTTTTGTGAAGATCCCAAGTTTATTAAAAACTAGTTTCATCTAGTTTCGAATATATAAACAAAATATAATATTCTCAACTACGATTTCTACAACTTCGATAAAACTGGCTTTATAATAGGTATAATATATCCCGGAATGGTAATAACTAGTACTAAACGAAATGGCAAAAGCAAAACAATACAATTAGGCAATAAAGAATAAGCTACAGCGATTATATATGATAATGGAGAAGGGGAAACTATACCACCATTCTTAGTTGTGTAAGGATAATATCACCTTTTTAATTGATATATAGAAAGTAGTTTTCCTATAGATTGAATTATCAAAACTATTACCACCATTCTTAGTTGTGTAAGGATAATATCACCTTTTTAATTGATATATAGAAAGTAGTTTTCCTATAGATTGAATTATCAAAACTATTTCTAATAGATAAATAAATAATAAAACGAAACTAGAATGATTAAAGCATTTTGATAAGTATATAGTTTATCGAATAAAAAGCAAATATCGAATACTAGTATTAAATAAATACAAAAGTCACGAATCAATATCTTTTCAATTATACTGCAAATCAAATAATATTATAGCAATCAAGCTATCACCACATTCAAGTTATTTAACTCAACCATTTGATATTGACTGTTTTGGTATATTGAAACAGACATATAGTTATCAAATTGATAGATTTATTTGTCACGGCGCCAACTACATGATCTGTAGTTGCCTTCGTGCCTCAGGCATAGCATACTAGCGCGCCCTACTTTCTATAAGTAGGGCTTCACTTTTTTATAGCTCTTCTATTCTTATAGTACAATATAAGTCTTTACCTATACCTTGATAGTTTGTATCATCTTTAAATAAACTATTACAATTTTATTTCTTATTTTATTTCCAAAACCCCACCAACGCCTTATCCCGATCACGCCGATCGCATCCATCGTTGATCTATTGTACACCCTACCACTGATATTTTGAACCTCAAAAAGTACTGAAGATGAATAAACAAGCATTTGTACCAGAAGTACCTATATCTGGCTTACCTCTGCAATTCCTTTTTTTGAATTATATTCTCAACTTTGCCGAAACCGATATCTTTCCCTTTATAGATCTATTCAATAATTCAAACACTATATACTTCACTACCGCTCAAACTATATTTGAATCAATCAAATCGATCGCAGGCTCATTACAAACCCAAGCTGCCACTGCTCAGGCCCAAGCTATCGATATTTAATTAAAGATTGTTGAATTGAAAGATATAATTTGTGACACTTTGCCTTAGAAGAACTGCGAGAGCAGGGTACAATTTATCCTTAGAATCTACAACTACAGAATCGGGAGCAAAGCGCTCGTAGAGCGCTCCTATATACTAGCTATGTACACGTGATCGTGCACGTGCGCAAGCGCGCACGTGAGCGATCGCAGCTGCGATTGGGTGCGATCCGTGACACTACCCCCCCTTTCGAAAAAGCTTGCCCTCAAGCTTCACAATTACCTAATCCGTAGACGCATCGGCGATCCCAATGAGGCGTCGTTGTTTACGTTGTAGCATGGCGTGGTAAACGGGCGTGTGCGCAAATTTTGCTTTTTTCGCGACGGGAAGGCGCATGGGAAACGGAGGAAACCGTCCTGTAGCCTAGCAACAGCGCGAAACCTTCGAAGCATATAGATCGCCCGAATTTCCCTCTCTCTTCCAAATCTTTTCCGGTCACTCACCTTCTTCGTATCCCTCGATCAATAATCAATATGCCTTCCACACCATCAAGAAAACGCAGCAGCAAGAGCAAGTTGTCGCCAGCGCAGCTGAAGCAGCGGGAGGACGCGCGTGCGGCGGTGAGTTGTTTATTTTTCTTTTGCGTTTGCTTTGCTGATATGCTTCTTTACAGCTTGCGGCGAAGAGAGCGTCTGCCTCTTCTGTTGCGCGAGGCAAGCGTCCTGTTGAGGAAGAGGAGGAGTCGAGCCGCAGCGGGAGTGGCAGTGATCCTGTCGGCGAGGAGGAGGATGATGAGGAAGATGGGTTGGACGACGAAGATGCACGTAAGTGAGACTTTCTTTTGGTGTCTCCGGCTTGCGGTCGGCTTGTCTAACAAGTGCGATTACAGATGCCGAAGGCAACGTGCCTGAGGGTGGGGTCGATCTTCGATATGCTCATTGGATGTATCCGTTCCATCGTCTTCCGAGGCAGAATTCGGAGGAAGAATACGATCCCTTGATCGATCGTGTTGACGATTACGAAAAGAAGTTCGCTGACAAGTTGACCGCAGCGGTACGTCATTTTCGTGATCTCGAAAATGATGGCGAGATAGTTGAGGAAGACATCCTGGAGGCCTTGCGTCAAAGTCAACCTGGTCGCAAATTCGATACGCCCCGTCGCAGAAGCGTTGGCTTCGTTGACGTCGACGAGTGGGGATCTCCAAGCAAGAGGTCACCAAAAAAGACGGTACCACAGCGGGAACAATGCGTTCGGGAGGACGGCTGGGTTTGTGCTGGCTGCGTA